CAGAGTTCTTAAGGTAAGTATTGATCATTATTATTTTCTCAAGTAAGAGAGAATACTCTTGTTTGATTTGTGAAATATGACTGGATATCAGCACAGAATGGTTTAGCTGCATCTCACTTAATACATCAGAATACATAACAAGTCTTTCCCCTCTCTTGCCATTCACCTATCACTGTTTTATATGGCCTTATTCATTCATATACACATATCACATGCACATGGTTGCAGCCATACTGACTATATAATGCCTGAAAATAACAATGACCTGCCATGGTCTAGACACAAGCCTACCAAAGATGTTCTTAAACAGCTGCGTTGCTTCAGAAGACTGAAATTTGCCAATGCTGTATCGTCCTCTGATAACATAATAAAAACCAGTATCACTGGCTGTGCCAGAACAAGTTTTTTTTAAATCAGGCCTTTTATTGTAGGCTTACAATGTTATAGGACTCAAAATGAGAAAAAAGTATCACCATACAATCTTAAGTTTAAATTTACTTGTAAATTAAACATTAACTATTTGTATACAGGGTTTGAGCAACTGTGTTCTTACACAGAACAAAAAGAAAACTAGAGGCAGTCATGAATACACATTTGCATTTTTTTAAGTCAGGGATGTCAACTATATGGCACACAATGCCATGTTGTCCAGCCTGCAAGACTCCCAGAAGGGCTGGGAATTCGGGGGCGAGGCCCACCACTGAAATCTAGGGTACAGCACTGCACTGGGGATCCACGGCAGCAGAGGGATGTGAGAAACAGCTGCATTAACACTATGGCTGCCATGGTGTTATTTTCTGGCCACTCTTGCCTGGTTAGGGAAGGCAAATGGAATAAAAAGCAGCTATATTTCTGGCCTGAATTCATGTCTTATACATCTTAATCACTATTCCTTTTCTGGGGTCCTGTAAAAATAATGTATCCTCATCTATAATGCTTTTATCTATTTAAGTTCTATACACAAAAGAAGCAGAAGTATTAGAGATTTAAAAAAATTAGTTCAAACTGGAACAAAGCAGCAAGCGCCAGCTTTTTCTGATACTACATGAGCAATGTTGCCAACTCTTATGATTTTATCATGATTCTCTTAATATTTGATGTTTCTTCTTCAAGCCCCAGCTGCTACAATATCAGCTTTCATGAAAAATAGGATTACATTCCTAGCTCTCTTATTTGTAGAGAAAAACTTGGAAATGTGAAACAAGCAAGTGTACCGCTATCAATTAGCTGAATAAGAATTTAATTTTGTCCCAAACTGTAATTCCTGCAACCTTATCAAAAGTTAAATGATCATGATTAGATATAAAGTAATTGAATGGTCATTCACCGTGAGTCAGCAGACCTGAACTCTGAATTACTGTGGGAAACCTGAATCAACAACAATTCCCCAATTTGCCAATATTCTGTACACAGAGGTAGACATACAAATCATTAGATACATGCAGCAATCCTGAGCTAGATCCTCACCCCAGGTAAACTGGCAAAGCTCCACTGAAACCAACATGCATACATGAAGTCAAACATTTACCCAAACAACAGTAAAAGTTCTGTTTAAGTAGCTGACCCTGCAGCTGATAAGATATGGTATGACATCACACATCAGTCACCCTGAATTACCATCCAAGTTTCTTATATTAACTCAGGCCCCATAATAAAACCACTTCTGTAATTCAGAGGACTGTAACCACACAAATATTAAATTTTACCTAAACAAACAGTTTAAACAATTGAAACCATGCAGTTGTTACAACTCCATGTAACAGTTCACAAAAGCAGTTTAACTGGACAATGCTTCTTCTTGTACTTGAGTTATCCCTTTCCCAAAATCCACAGCCTAAATCTTGCAACTGGCTAATTCGTGGGCAATACACTATACTTGTACAGAGCTCTTAAGGCCCAGGAGGATGACACATAGGCATAAAAGTCTACCCACAAGCTAGCACTACATCTCAGTGCTTCCCTGTGGAATAAATGCTAAACTCAAACGCGTTTGGCATGCTTGTAAAATGATATGCTGGGAGCATTTTCCCCATCCTTTTGGCTGTTCTGCCTGGAGGGTCTGGAGTTATCCAAGTTAATCAGCTACAGTGCAGAGTAAAACTTTAATGCAGGTTCTACCCATCACACAATGTGGTTCACGTCCCCCTGGAGAGTCTATATGGTAGCAGCTCTGTTGATAGTACCCCACACATCACATTTTTAAGCTCCATCAAAAGCTGCTAGCCTAATTTTGTTCTTAATTACAACAGTGTAAAAATCGGGTGCAATGCTACTGATTTATATGATGCTATTTAGGGTCTACGATGATAAAACTGAGATCAGATTTTAACTCTGCACATGATTCCTTCCCTTGAACTTCTTTTATGCATTATGAAGAGTTCTGGATTCAGATGTTTCATGTTTCCTTGGGGGTCAAATCCTGCATCCTCAGGCCTCTGAAAATATTTATTCATTTCATCCCCAGGAGTTTAGTGCACGCAAGAGCTAGCATCTGAGGCTTGCAGTGTGAAATGAACAAAAGATGGTCTCATATCCCCTAGTACTTCTTCTTAGGGAAGAACTGATGCATTAATTGGGAAGCCTCCAAATGAAAGACATGCCAATAGGAATAAAAAACAAACACTCACAAACTTCCTCCAAGAGGAAAGCCAACTACTTCCTTTAATTATGCTGCTCTGATATTATGATTAAAAGGCACTCTACAATTACCTCTGCTAGAAAAAGATTAGATTCAAAGTGACACTACCTTCCTTTGACTGTGCCCTACCACCACTCCTTCCTCTTAAGTTTTAATATTGCCCTGCAGTTCTGTTATTTACAGTGCCTCTAACAGGATCATCTTATTAGAACAAGGAAAAGTTTCACTTAGTGGTTAGGACACATGCGTCCAAGCTATTCTCAATGGGCCTGGACTTTCCAAAGTGCATGAACACACTCATTTACACCCTGCAAACTATGTAAAAAATCTGAGACTTGGGCTTAGCCTACACGACCAAGTTTTACTGGTGAGGTTGTCAGCTAGTGGGAAGAAGAAAAATCACTCCCTGTTAGCTGATATAAGTGCACCTGCAAAACCTCTTGGGTGCAGACACCCTCTGGTGAAAGGAGTGGCCTTTTGTCAGCTTTGCTCCTGTCCACATAACAGTTCTGCCCAGTGTGAAAACATCAGGCCTCACAGCTAGCACAGCCCAGCTTGCAAAACCCTGAGTGGACAAAGCCATCAGCAGGGAGAGCTAGGGTAGCTCTGGTGGTAAGGAACCCCCTTCTGCTGGAAAGCTATGTTCACACCACAGAGGCCCCAGCTATTCAAGTAGCAGCAGCCTGCACAGCATAAACATAGTCCTAGCTTATATACCATTTGGGAGCGTGGTGTCACTGTGCCAGCAGAGTCTTGCCAACAGATGCTGTGTCTACACCATGGGCCTCTGCTAACATTGTGTTGCCAGCAGGGGCTCTATCGTGCAGCCAAACACTGCTCTGCTACTAGACCTTCGATGGGCAGCGGGCTGAGACTACTCTGCTTGCTAAAGACGTTTTTAAAATGTTGTGGATTAGTAAAGTGAGAATTAGTGAATTGGCTATTCAGTACACGCAGCTCTCTCTGGTCTACATTTCATCGGCTTTACAGAGGGGAGGCGGGGCTGGAAAAAAAGTCGAGTGTGCGTCCAAAGGGAAAAAAAGTTGCAACCTGCCCTAACAGCGTACTTGCGTCGCAGCTACGGCCTTCATGAAGCCGAGTAAGTCCGGAATCCGAGGACTGAGAAATCAGAGGCCGAACCTGCACGTTACAGTGCTCGGGGCGAGGCCCGTCTGAACTGCTCCGGTGTCATCGGGCTGCAACACCATAACTGGCGACTGCTTTCTGCGTCCTGACCCGCGCTCACTTTTCCGACAGGCGCCTCGCCGCACGGGCCCCCGCGAGGTGGTGAACACCTGCACGCCGCTGCCACGTGCGAGGTGGCGCCGGGCCCACGCGGAGCCCGTCACGCTCCTCTCCACAGCGCTGCGGGACACACCCGCGCGTGCCCGGCCCAGCCCCCGGGCTCCACACAGCCTGCTCCTGAGAGAGGGAGGGACAGCCGGGCTGCGCCCGTGGCCGGCCGAGCCGCCGAGAGGCTCCCACCCGCTCCACCTGGTGCCTGTGGTGCGCACGTGCAGCCCCGAGCACCGGGCCGGGCCCCCGCAGCTCAGCTCAGCCCCTGCTACGGGCTCCCGCGCCCCGCTCCCGCGCCCTGCCCGCTTCCCTTACCCGGGCCGGCGGCTGGGGCCGGGCTGAGGGCGGCGAGGGCGCG